AAAAAAAAAAAAAAAAAAGAACAGTGAAAGCAACAGAAAAATATATCCACCGAAACAGTAAATAAAACAGTAATGTAACCCTGATTTAAAAAATTTAGAATAAATTTTGTTCTCAACATAAATTGTTTCCTTTTTTTTCCCCCGTATTTTTATAATCATTGAAAAAAAAAAATAAAATCAAAAATGACACGGAAACTTTTGCAAAAGGAGAATAAAAACTGAGAGATTAAAGTTGGTGAGTGAAGACTGCGGTGCACAATACAAGCAGGACGCCGAGAAAACATTAAAAATCTTGAATCTGTCAAAAATTACCAAAAATTACCAAGAAAAAAAAAGAAAAAAAAACATAATATAAATAAAATAATTAAGTGTTCGATAAGAAAAACTTAACAAATGAGAGAAAAAAAGTGTAATTTTTGTTGGTGTTTTTTTAAGCAATTATAACAGTAAAAGCGACCAAAACTGCAGAAAACAGTTTGGCTATCATTTCTTGAAGATGATTAGACAGAAAAAAAAAGATTTTTTTACGAGTGACTAAATAAAGAAAAACTGGGTCTTTTTCTTGACACGCTGACTAATACCATTGTTATTTATTACTATTTAGTAAACAAAAGACATGCAGTTAGTTTAAAAAGAAAAAATTAGCATACCAGAGGTTGCTGACTGTCTCCTTCGGAATTACTCCGATATGCATTTGCTTTCACATCTGTAAAAACAGTGTTAACAATAGAAGAAAAAAAAGAATTTGTTTAAACCATTTAGCATCTTTTTAGTGTCTAATAGTTGTTTTTGTTTTTTTTTTTGTATGACAAGTCAAAAGTTTAGTGTGATTTGTTGGTTGGATAAAAATTACGGAAAAATATGGACAAAAAAAGAGGATCGATCTGATAATTAAAAACAAAGAACAAAAAACAGACCTAAATTTGCTTGGAAATCTCTTGCAATTCATGTATATCTAATCATTTTTTTCCTTATCTTAGTTTTTGCAGAATCAAAATTTGAAGCGTGAACTTAACTGTCTGACAGCTATCAAACAAGTTTTTCAAACTTTTTCTTCCTGAGCCACAATATCATACAATCCCATCTATCCCCCCTACATTTGCATCCTTTGCCTCCATCATTCCTCCTTCTTCCACTCACTCATTCGCTCATTCATTCACTTGTGCATTTTTTTTTTTGATATAAACGAATTTCATTTAGGTTACCGGTGATAAAAATAAAAAGAAAAAGCAATTTTTTTTTGTTATTCTCATCTAAAAAAAATAAATAAAGATAAAGTAAATTCAACTTTTTTTGTCTATTTTTTTTCTGAAGCATTTATCGCCTTCAATATAAGCAAAAAAGCACAGAAACCTCGCAAAACTGAATACTTTTCATTACCGTTACTTTGTTTATAATAACAAAAAAAATTTCTCGTCTTGTTTTCGGTCCTGTTGTTTTTCTCCTTCGTTACTTTTGCCCTGAATGACACACTAAACAGAACGATCAGGAAGAAAAAGTTGCGATAAAAAAAGATCAACAACAAAGAAGGAATTCAAACAAAAAAAAATCTGAAAAGAATCTGTTTTTTTTTTTCAAAAGATGCCATCAAATAGAGGTTAAAAAGGCCAAATTTTAATTCCGGTCTTCTTCCCCAATTTTTCTTCATTCATTTTTCTATGCCTCTTCTCCTCTACACACTTTGCTATTT